CCCCCTGGTGTCACATCAGCAGCGGTGCTCCCCACCTCAGCCCCCCTGGTGTCACATCAGCAGCGGTGCTCCCCACCTCAGCCCCTCCAAGCACGTGAAGTTTTGCGGGATGCCTGCATGTAGCACTGGGTGTGCGGCTAAGAGAAGGCTGCGTTATCTGAACCTGAGCACGTGTCAAGGAAGAGAAATGAGGGACTGCCTGAGCAAGGCGCTCTGCTTGCTGGGGATGCCACAGCAAAGCTCGCAGGCCAGGGGCTTACGCAGCAGGGGCGTGCACTGCGTGTTACTACGGCAGAATGCGTGTGACAGGAAGTGGATCGTTCCAGCCCCCTACCATATGGCCCGGCGCTGTGAGGGCCTCCAGGCTGCCCTGTAAGCCTTGCTCTCCGTCCTCGCGTTTTGTTTTGTTTTGTTTTTTGCAGAACCAGGGATTGAACTCAGACCCTTGCGCTTGCCAGGCAAGTGCTTACTCTACTGAGCCATCTCCCAGCCCCTCAGTCCTCAGTTTTGCCATCATCCCAAAATGCAACTGTCTCTCATCTACTCTTCTTTGTTTTGGCGGAACCAGGGATTGAACTCAGACCCTTGCGCTTGCTAGGCAAGTGCTTATTCTCCTGAGCCATCTCCCAGCCCCTCTTGTCTACTCCTAAGGACACTGGATCTAGTCCTATAGTGGAATGTAAGCTCTTCCTCCTAAGGTCAGGTGAGTCCCTGGCTGCCTCTGCCTACAACCCGGCATACAAGGTGTGGGGATGGGGCCATCTTTGGGGGCGGCTCTTCTGCTTCCCCCACCCCCGGAGTGTGTGCCTAGCCCGGGATGCCTGGGCGAGCCAGTGAGACGTGTGCGCTGAGGCCTGGCCCTGGGAGGCTCTCCCCATCCTCAGTGCCTCCCCGCGCTTGGGGAGCAGCCGGGGAGCAGGTGCCCCTTGCCACCCTTCAGGACAACAGGCAGAGCTGGCCCTGTGTCGAGGGCTGTTCCGCTTTGGGCCCTGGTGTCAGGACAGGCAGAGCCGGCCCTGTGTCGAGGGCTGTTCTGCTTTGGGCCCTGGTGTCAGGACAGGCAGGGAACAGCCCTTCAGATGTATGTCTGTCCCAAAGCCAGCAGGGAATAGGTAATAGGAAGGTTACAGTGAGTTGGACAGGTCCTGCAAGTGCCCACGCGTCACCCTGAGGGCCACAGTGGATCTCTTTTCAAGTGTGTTTGGTACAGGGTCTCATTGTGCAGCTCCGACTCGTAGGGACCCTCATGTCTCGGCCCCTAGTGCTGTGACTATAGGTGTGTGCTGCTGCGCCTGGCTTTGGAAGCCAGCTTGGCCTGGTATGTGGTGCCGGGGATTGAACCTGGGTCCCTGCGCTTGCCAAGCAGGCACTTAAACCGCTGAGCTATCTTGCTGTCCCCCACAACGAGTCTTTCAGACTTCCCCACTGGGACTCATGGCCTCTAGTACTTCGATGGGTGCTTCCTATTTTTCTTCCCTACATTTTCTTCTTTCCCAAGCCAGGTGGTCACCAGCAGTGGGGACCAAATGGTTTCCTTGGTTACAGGGTCCTTATGGCCTGCTCTGCCACTCACAGGCCGCTTTCTTCCTGGTGGCTTGACTGAGCCCCTCTCACTGCCACCTTCGCTGGTTCCGAGGCTGTGGGCCACTTGTCCCATGCCTGGCCCTGTGCACGTCCTCGCCATGTTTGGCCATCTCCACTGTGCTAGCCAGCTTCCCAGAATACCTGGAGAAGCAACCTAAAGGAGCAGGGGCTTACGTTGCCTCGTGATCTCAAAGGCTTTAGTCCGTTGCTGGGGGGCTCACTACTCCGGCCTGTGTCAAGGCAGAAGAGCTGCGGTGGAGGAGCCTGGGTCTGCGAAGCTTCAGAGCCACTCATCTCTTGGTGGCTAGGAAGCAGGGTAAGGTGGGAGCAAAAGGCCATAGATGAGGCATTGTCCCTGAGGTCACAACCCATGCTCCTATCCTTTCAGTGCGCCCCACCTCCTGTACTTCCAAAGTGATGCCACTGAAGGTGATCCCTTCTGTGGAGGAATCCTCCAGCAAAGGTAGAGCCCTCGTGAGCCAATCACATTCTGAAAGCCTCACCTCTGAATGCATGAGCCTTTTGGGTCTAGACTATAACATCTATAAATGGCTTATTGCTTTAGCTGTTATTTATTTATTTATTTTTTGTGGCCAGCTCAGCCTGCCCTGGGGGCAGGGCTGGCATGGCATGTGGTGCCAGGAATCGAACCACAGTCCTTTAGCTTGCCCAAGCTCGCCTAAGCAAACGCTTTAGACAGCTGAGCTACCTCGCCAGCCCTAGCTGTTATTTAGAACACTTTCCTTTCCTTGCTTTCTCTTTCTTTTCTTTTTTTATTTTTTTTATTTTTATTTATTTGAGAGAGAGAGAGAGAGAGAGAGAGAGAGAGAGAGAGTGTGGTGTGTGTGTGTGGCCAGCTCAGCCCACCAGGGGGCGGGGCTGGCTGGCATGTGGTGCTGGGGGATTGAACCGCGGTCCCTGATGCTTTTGCTAAGCTTGTTCCAAGTAGGTGCTTTAGACCACTGAGCCATCTCTCCAGCCCTCTTTCTTTTCTTTCTTAATTCTAAAATCAATATAAGCAAGAATGAAATGAAGGTCTGACGCACCTGCTCCAGTTCTTCCTGTACGTAGTAAGGTGTAGAAGTTCAGGAAGGGCTAGGCTGAGGCCCAGTGTGGAGCACATGCCCAGCACGCCTGAGGCCCTGGATCCATCCCTAGGAGCCCCCATGCACCAGTAGGAGCCATCTGCCACCTGGCATCTGGAGTCTCCTTATGCTGCCAGGGGCCCAGGGATTTTCCTGTTGTGGTTCTTTTTGTTTTAATTAAAATAATTAATTAATTAATTTGGTAGAGGGTCTCAGTACTGATCCTCCTGTCTCAGCCTCCCCAGCACGGGGATTACAGCTGTGCATCACCACACCCAGTTTCGGCAACCATCGCAGCGCATCTGGGACCTGCGTGGCATGTGGCACTGGGGATTGAGTTCAGGTCCTTGCGCTGTCCAGGCGGGCTCTAAGACCACCGAGCTATCTCCCCAGCCCTCCTTGGGTTCTTTTGAGATGAAGACTTGCTGTCTAGTTGCCACTGGCCTTGAGCTTGCTTCTGTAGCCCAGGCTGGCCTCGAGCTCTTGGCGATCCTCCTATCTCAGCATCCCAAGGGCTGAGCTCACAGGTGGAGATACGGACCTGAGAAGAAAGGCAGCCCCATGGCAAGCCCCATCCGTGCCCTCCCGCCCTGCTCGCTGCCCAGCCCCCGGAGCCTCATTGCACACTGGCGCATGCCCCACTTGGGTGCCAGCCCCCACCTGCAGTGTGACACTTGTCTCTGTCCGGAAACGTTACAATTGCAAGCTGTGTGCGTGTGTGTTCTGGACTGTCCCGTGCGGGGTGCGCTTGGCTCTCAGCATGCCGGCCTGCCTCCTGTCTGTGCTGCTCTCGCGAGCCCCAGCTCCCAAGGTGCCTGACGCAGGAGCACTGAGTAGACATTCGATGAGTGAATAAGTGAGTGAACAGTAAATAAATGCTCACGCCGGGTGCTGCCACACTGCCTGGGCTCCGCGTCTGACATTAACAGTCACTTTCCCACAGGTCATAAGATGGAGAGGACTTTGCCTGCCAAGCTGAAGGACAACGCTGAGGTCTTCATTCCCAGCAAACCGGAGCCAAACCTGAATTCCCAGCCCCCCACCACATTTCTGGATCAGGACAGGGGGTGCTCCAGTAAGAGTCGGGAGCTGGGGCTGGGGCTGGGGCTGGGGCGGGTGCTCTCAGTGTGGGGCACCACAGAGGAGGGGGGCCTCCTTTGTCACCTCTTTCTAGGGCAGCGCTGCCCTTTAGCCAGTGTGCTGGTCGGGGACTCTCAAAAAAGGCTGCATCTGTCTATGAGGAGTTTATGGTAAGGGGTTTGCTTGTGCTCTTCTGAAGGCTGGAAGTCCAGTCTGCAGGGGAAGCAAAGAAGCCTGGCTGCGGGCAGGGCAGAGCCGCGCCCAGGTATTAACCTCTACCAAAACCTGCCCTTGGAAAGACCAGACCCACACAAGGCAAAGCATGCCAGAGGACAGTACGAAAAGAACGGCTTTCGAGCCAGGCGTGGAAGTGTGTCTGCAGCCTTAGCTACCAGTAGGGCCAAGACAGGAGAAGCAACTGTTGGGGCAAGCCTGGGCAAGACTTAGTTAGCAAGACTGTCTGCAAATAAAAAATCAGCTTTGAGAGAAAAAGTGTATCTTCCTGTATAACTGAGAAGTCCAAAGGCAGTGTGACCTTCAGGCACAGCTGGATGACCTTCAGGCGCAGCTGGATGACCTTCAGGCGCAGCTGGATGACCATCGGGCACAGCTAGATCCAGGCAATTAAAAGTATATCTGCAATCTGCAGCTCTCTGAGAACAAGGCCCAGAGAAGAAAGGTGAGCTGCAGGGGTAGGACAGGAGAGCTGGTCTCACCGCCGCGGGGCCCTGCTGGGTACTGCATGGGCAGGGCCTGCGTCTGTGTTATGGGGAGCTCAGGCGGCGCCATCCTCACAGCTGGGATCCGGGCAAAGACGAGGCACGGAGCCGAAGGCCCTGGGCAAGCCTGAGGGCTCTGCTGCGTCCTCTTGCAGCAGGCAGTGGCCTGGCAGATCAAATGATGGCCAAGCAGATGGAACCTTCTACCACGTGGACCCAGAGCCCAGCGGGACACTTAGAAGGGGTGACATACAGTGGTTCTTCACTTATCATAGAGGTTACGTTTCAGCCACCGCCGTGATAAGTGAAAATCAGAGAAGTAGTGATGTTATATTTAATTTATTTTTATATATATTTTAAGGCTTTCTAAACCCTTCCCACACTCTTATAAACCTTTTCCACACTTTTAAAAACATTTCTAATGTTCTTCACCATTTTCTAAACTCGTAAACCCATGTGATTTTAACAACATACGTAGACTGTACGGTGCTGCAAAATCCTGTGAGATAGTGGAAAATTCACGATAAATAATTTAGATGAATATTTTTTGAAAGCCCATAAAACAGTGAGCCCATGAAAGTTGAACCAGGAAATAGCGGGGGACGACTGTACAGAAAATGTTTAAAGCTTTTAAAAAGTATTGCAGTAAGAGGTACATTGCCGTCAGTTCTCCTCAGAACACTCCCCTTGTCCTTGAACACACCCGTCCTTCTTGCCACTTTCTGAAGCAGTTCTGGAAAGCCTCTTCCTGGGAGTCTTTTCTAGGCAGGCTCATGGAAACGCTGCAGCGTGGCCTCCTCCACCTTATTGTCCAGAGCTGGAACCACGCGGTTTTAGCTCTCCCTCAAAGCCAGAATGGCCATGAAAAGTAAACATGTTGATTTGATTCAGGATGGTACAGCTAAAGACACTAAGGAAAGAGGACTGTCTGGCTGCTGGCTGCAGGCTCCCCTGCGGCCTGGCCCCATTCTCCTAAGTGAGCAGAATGCAACCAGCTTGAATAAGAGCCAAGAATATGATTTGGGGGGCTCCAGGAAAGTCAGAGCTCTCTCTTAGGAGTCAAAACTCTGGGAGCAAAGACAAAACACTTCTCCGGTCAACCCATGTATATTCCACAGATTTAGGGGGTGCAGGAAAAGGAAGGTACAAAAGCCCAGGCCCGTGGAGGCTGAACAAAGGCAGTAAGTTTTGCCAATTAAGAGAGCTATTGATGGTGCCAGGGAGATGGCTCAGTAGAATAAGTGCTTGTCTGGCAAGTGCAAGGGCCTGAGTTCAATCCCTGGTTCTGGAAAAAAAGAGAGGGGGAGAGGAGAGAGAGAGAGAGAGAGAGAGAGAGAGAGAGAGAGAGAGAGAGAGCGCTGTTTGCTCTCCCAGCCTGGCAGCTGTATTGCTCTGCAAGGGAGGTGTCCTGGGCTGCCTCAGCCATGGAGGCAGCTTGTCTCCAGCGCACCATGCGTGTACACTTCTGCAGCATAGCCAGAGGCCCCTGTGTGTAGCACCCTAACCTACTACTGCCGGGCTCAAACAGAGAACTTCCAGGACTGCTTTAGAAAGTGACAAGGATGACGGGTACTCATGCTCAAAGCCAGAGGGAGAAGTTTTAGGGGCATTTGTGGCACTCTGTCTTTTGCTGCAATACATTTTCAAAATATTCAGATATTCTCCAATGTCTCAGTTGCTCCTCTCTGGTTTCTGGGGCAAAATATGCAACGCCCAGAATTAAGGAAGGAAAGGTTTATTTAGCTCACAGTTAGTGGAGGTTTCAGTCCATACTCTTGGCTGGCTCCAAGGCAGAGCGGCACTTGGCAGAGGGCAGTTGTTCATGGTGGTGGAAGACAGCAAAGAGCAGAGGGAGGGGCAGCAGCTGCAGCAGCCAGCAGGCCTCGCTCCCCTCCTTCCATTTCTATGCAGATTGCCTGCCCCAGGGCGGGTGCAGCACCCACACCCATAATCCCAGCATTGGATCATGAATTACCATAATCCCAGCATTAGATCATGAGTTAATCACAAACTCTAGAAGCCGCCCCATGGCTGCACGAGGCTTTGGGGGCCAGCCAGACCCAAAGCATGACATCGAAGTGTTTTGGTGACACCACCTAGCACCAGACGGCTTCCTGGGGATTTCTTGGCAAAACCAAGCCTGGATTGCCTGAAACTTGATGGAGGTTGAGATAGGGGTGTGTGACCACTGTGTCCCTGAAGTGAGCAGGGTCACAGAGGTGTCACGGGGGTAAGTAGATGGCAGCAAAATGGCCTACAGGGCTCAAGAACAAGACAGAGCAGTGAGGGGGCAGAAAGATCCGGTGAGTTCTGGCTCTGCCGACTTGGGTCAGACAAGGAACTGGGAGAGAGAAGAGACGGACCACGATGCCAGCTCCAGGGGCTCTCACGTGGTTGGGGTCGTGGGGGTCGCCCATGTGGCCTCCAGGCTGGGCCCCAGCGGTTGCTGCCTAGGCCTCCTACTCGTTTGCCTGCTCGTGCTGTCTACCCAGTACAGGAGAAGTATCAAATGGCATCTAGGAAGATCCTCCCACACCAGTCACCAGGAAGACGAGCCTCAGGGCAGTGTGCCAGCACAGGCAGGGCACCCCGGGGCAGAGCCTCCCAGGGGCGGCTGGACCCGACTGGGACCCCAGCTTTGCAGCATGATGCACCACCCCAGGTTTTCCCTATCTAAGTCATTAGTTGAGAGCCGTCCCCTGGAAGCACCGCGCGGGCTCCCAGGCTGCACTGAGCACCGCAGAGGCAGCCTCACCTTTGCTCACCCAGCGCCCTGGGCAGGGCCTGCAGTTACCAACACGAAGTGCATGATTGCGGCATCTGCTCACGGTCCCCTGCTGGGGAGTGGTGAGGCCTGGGGTCACAGCACAGCCTGGCTTGCGGGGTCGCTGCTCTGACGACTCCCTGTATGACCCCCTCGTATGCTAACTTAACTGATAAATCATGCCCGTCTCAGCCTCATCCTGGCAATAACAGGCCTACAATCCAGCCTTCAGTCCCTTGTTATGTTTTTTCTAGTTTCATTAATATAAATGTATTACTATTAATACTTTTGAAAGAAAACCATACATCGATTAAACATGCGAGATTCATTTCCAGGACTGTCAAAGGAAAGTACCAAATCAAAGTGGCTTTTTACCTCACGAACTTAACTGTCTCACAGTTCGTGGGGCTGGAAGTTCAAAACCATCCTCTGAAGGTCCGAGGGAGGGTCTGTTGAAGAAGTAGCTCTTTGTCTGTGGCAACACTGACCTTCACAGCACTCCTCCTACGTGTGCATCTCTCTGTCCAAAAGCGCCAGTTTTATAAAAACCTTGGTCATACTGTGGTAAGACCGACCTTCACGACCTCATCTTACCATGATTATCAGCAGAGACCCCATTTCCAAATAAGGCCACAGCCACAGGCACCAGGGATTAAGATTTGGGGACAGACTTAACCTAAGACATAGCTTCATGTACAGGATTTGGAGAAATAGAGATTAATTTACTTATAATATTCTTTTCTCCAGAAAGTTCTGGCAAACTACAGGTAGCTTGTGGTGCCAGATTTACACACATGGAAGGGTAGCAGGACATGCTGTCTTCTTGCCTCTAATCCCAGCATTCTGGGAGGCTGATGCAGGAGGAGCCCAAGTTTAAACTGGAGCCCAGCCCTCGCAGTTTAGCAAGGCTCCCTCTTGGAGAAAGAGAGTTGGGCTTGGGATGTAGCTACTTACAGAGGCCCTGGCTCCAATCCCTGTATGGCGAAATAAACAAAGCTCAGAATGCCTACAGACAGTCACAGTTGTGACTGTATATTTCTGCATCTATAAGAAAATGCATGTTGCTGGCTCACCAGTTAAAATGAGATTACGAGCTCTTTTGGAATTGGTTCTTAGCATCATTTGTCCCAATTAGGACTGTGTGAAAGGGATGCAGTTCGAGGTAGCAGAATCCTCATTTTGTGCGAGTTTGGAGGTCACCTTCCTCCATAAATATACCTGACCAGGAGGGAGTTGCAAACGCTGCCACTGTCCTTGCCCTCATGCGGAGATGTACTACAGCGAAGCCACGTGTCCACAGACATTGGTCTCCAAAGGTGACAAAAGTGCAGGGACCAAGCTACCCTTGCATTCCTCAGTCTGACAGTTAGCATAGCCTAGGTGGCATTGCACAACCAGTACTGTACACGTGTGTTGTCTCGCAAGCCAGGGGAGCCCGTCCCTCCTCCACAGTAGGCAAATCACGGCTTCTGGCTGGGCCCCAGATGAGCCATCAGCCTTGGTTAGGGCTGG